TTGAAGGACTCCATGGTTTCTGCAAACCCCAGAGTCCTAGAAGGTTCCAGACAACCCGAGGGCGGGCACGAGCCAACAGACCCCATCTTCCTAGCAGCCCATGCCCACCTCCAGCCTCGTAGTGGGGTGAATTCCACCTCACAGCACAGAAGAGATTTTGCTGTACAACAAATATGAAACTTACAAACACAAAGTGTTCTTCCAGATATGTTCTAACCCCTCTTGAGCAATGACGGATCAGAAAGGTGCTGGGAGAAAGCAAGGGGCGAAAGCCAGGCTGCAGGGGCATGGTTCTGAGTAAGGCCTCCTAGAAGATGCTACCCCTTGGATTTCTTTTTGAGTGTGTGTGTTGGAGAACAACTGTAAAATCATCAAATACCACCAGCTGACCCTAAGATGATGGCCTCCGGCTGATAAACACTCTGGCAACTGTATTTCTTTCTCGTTTGGCAGGCTTGGCTGCTGGCTTTCCAAATGATAGTGCTATCCAGCCTGCTTTGAGGAGTGTTAGGATTTGGGTGAAGCCTTGCTGAAGTCTCCGAGCTTCTTTCTCTTTCTGTGTACTCAGAAGGTATCTCATTCCTCTAGGGTGCCCTGTGGTTCAGTGAGACCACAAAAGGTTTGAGCTATTATAACATTTCCTGAGATGTTATAATATTTTGAAATTGAACTCAGCCCTTAATATAGATTATATTGTTTTTCAACAATGACTATAGGACAGGTTGTCTTATCTTGTTCAAATCTGGGAACACTGAGGTTCATCAAGGACAATCGACCCACCTGTGGTTTCCAGGCAAGGGGAGAGTCTGGGGCTTAAACTCAGTCTCTCTGACTCCTAAGGGGATGTTGCCAGCCCCTTCAGCGCCTGGTGCTAAGTGGATTTGAAGAAATGACAAGAGAAACTGACTGATGGTGATTTCCATGAGGAAAGTGATTACTGTCATCAGGGAATTTTTGAGCATCTCAAGGGCAGGGGCCACCTCCAGCATCTTTGTTACTCACATAGGTAGAACCTGGTGTGCTGATGTCATGGGTTGGAGTACACCTTTGGAACGCAGAGCACTGGGGCGCTGGGCTATGTGGAAGACAGCACAGCCCTCAGTGGGTACAGGCAGGCAGCACTTTAACCCCCAAAGCATTCTGCATTTCTGGGAAAGAAAGGAGCCCTTTATAAAAATTTTGAGTCCTCATGCTAATTAAAACATCCTTTTAAAAGAGGTCTGATTTCTTTTAGAAAGGTAGGGTCCAGAATGTGTCAGAAATAGTCTTCAGGTTTGGTTTTCTGGCTTGGCTATTGAGATTCTGTGCAACTTTGGCCAAGTCACTCAACTTCTTCAGATCTTGGTATTTCCACCAGTAGAATGGAAATAAGGATAGCATCTCCTTCACAGGCGCTGGCAGGGTATTAACTCAGGAGATGACTTAGCTCAACACCTAGGGCCACAGAAGGTGTGGAATCAAGGTTTGTGGAGCTGGGGAGAGAGCTGGCACTTCCTCCCCAAAGCTTGTCCTGAGCACCTCTGTTCCTTTCCCATCTTATAATCTATTGTTTTACCAGCCAGTCGCCTTTCTTCTTCCAGATGGCAAACACATGAACTGGTCTGAAATACACTTCGGGACTTCGGGACCAGGTTTTCTGGTCTGGAGACAGGGGAGTCTCTGAGCATCCCAAACTGTGACTATAATTTTATTTCCTCCCAACCCACGTATCTTCTGGGAGCGGGGCAGAACTGAATTTCTAGGTCACTATTGACTTTTACCTTTTGTGGTTTAATTAACTCTGAAAGAAACTAAGTTTTCTTTCAGGAAGGAAGAACAAGAGAAACTGTAGCTAGATTTCAATTACAAATATCTGCGCACACATGACACACGTCTTCCTAATTGTGAACTTGAGCATGCAGGGTGGAAATGGGCAGACGGGAGGGAGCAGAGTCTCAGGAGGCCTCCTACCATGTTCTGTGCGCTGATTCGCCCCGGCTGTAGTACCTGCTGGGCAATGTATCACTCTGTTCCCCAACACTTGGGCTTCTCCAGACAGCTTTTCCCCAGGGCTTCACATCTCCAAAGGCATATCTGTACTATTTCCCACTTTGACAGTCATGTCTGCTAAAGAGTATGTGCTCAATATATTTGTTGACCAATATATCTGGGGTTCCAAGTTTGCTCTGGTCTGTAAAGATACTTTGGGTTTAAAACACCCAACCACTCCACCCTGGTTTAAAACCTTCCAGTGGCATCTCCAGGGTTCTGGAGCACAGGTCACTTCCTTCTGGCAGCCCATAAAGCCCTGAGTTTTGTGGCCTGACAATAGGTGTGAGGTGTTCCTGTAAGTGCTTCCCCTTGCTGACCAATCTCTGGTCATTTGTCCTTTCTTCTGGTCACTGAGATCCTTCCTGAAGGCTTCCTCAGGGCCTTTCTACTTGCTGGGCCTTCTTTCTGGAATGCTTTTTACTCTTGCTATTCAAATGGCTTATACTTTCTCATCCTTAGGTACCAGATGAGCCATGGCATACTCTGGAGGGCTTCCCTGCCCAGTGGAGCAGGCCGCCTCCGTCACTGTTTAGGACATCAGCCTGTTTACTTCCTCCACAGTGCAAACTGCAAACAGACATTATCTTCTCCATTTATTTATTCATTTGCTTATTTCCCATGTCCTTTATTAGGATGTTGATGCCACAAGGCTGAGATTTGATGAATGTTAATTCCATAGCCCAGTACTCATTGGACACAAAAAGAGCTCGCTGAGGGAATGCAAAAGCCTGAGCTTTGATAGCATTCATTTATGTCTACATTTCAAAGGAAATGTCACTCCGGGAGGACACCCTGCTTCAGTCAAACCATTCCGTGCATGCAGAAAACAGCTCTGATTAAATCAGGAGAGGCAGAACCATTATGAAGACGCTACATGAGGGAGGCAGCAACTTGCTTTTGTGACTGTGACTGTGACTGACTTGGTGTGGGGGCTGTTGAAGGGAGCTCATTTCTGTGAATAATTTGCCATAATAAGTTGGCCCACTCTGCATTATACCATTAGGACAAATGGTGTATTTCACAGAAGAAAACATTTTGAGGAAGTCACCATATTTTAGTTTTGTCTTCTGTTTTCATGTGGTCCCCTCAGATGAGGTTTGTGGAAATGAAACCATAGTGGGGGCAAGAGTTCCCAGTGAGGACTTTCATTTCTTCATTCCCTTGGAAAATGGTGGAAACCAGTGGGATCATGTTTTCTAATCTCTGGCAATAATGAAATCCGTATGTCATGAAGCCTGTGGCTCGGCAGGGAGCAACAAACCCGCTAAGCAATCGAATGCCAAGTGGCATCTTTTGTTTTAATTCAGAAGAATGCAGTTCCCGAGGAGTTAGCATGGGGCTGTTAATTTAAACTTTTCCGCAAAGTTATCTAAATGTTCTGGTATTTTATCTTCGGGATTTTTTTTAGAGGGTATCAACAACTAACAAGAAGGCCCATCATTGTGGAGAGTATGTCTATCCAGTCAGAGAGTACGCCAAGCTTTACATCATTTGCTCCACTTACAGTGCTGTGTGTACCATCTTTCCAATTTCTGCCATTTCTACACCTTAATTTAAGAATTTTCAAGGCTGCTTTCTCCCACATGTAGGTACTACCCATGCTATTATTTACTTAATACATTCCATTCAGTTCCCTTTTCAAATGACAGAATATTCTTTAAAAAATAAAATTTATGGCATTGCTTCAAAAAGACAATTCAGGCTCACTGGAGTGAATCTAAGGCAGCTGCAATTAGAGCTAAGTGATGCTGTCCGCATCCTCAGCGGGTGCCCCTGCCTGCCTTTGGGGAGGTTTCTCGTGCCCTGTTGCTACTGCTGACATAACAAAAGGTCTGCCAGATGTGAGCGCCTCTGCTTTGGGCTTCCCGGGTTCTGCAGCTGATAGGGGAAGACAGATTTTGGAGAGAGCAATCCACGGGACGGATCTGCAAGCCAATCACACACTTCACTGCGGTCTAATCTTCAGAACCTCCATTGCTGTCCCAGTATAGGAGGCGGTGGTGACATGCACAATTGTGCAGGTAGTTCTCTGGGGATCAGGAGGGAGCTGACAGGGAAATCACAAGCTCCAAAGAAGTTGGAGGAACAGACTGCAGTGTAAAGAAGAGAGCGGAACAGTTTGAAAGTTTCTTCTGGTTCTCTCAGGGAGGAGGACCTGTCTCTGCAGACACAAGGTAAGCCCTCAGTGTTGGGAGCTCTGGGGAGAAAAAGCGGACAGGACCAGCCAAGGAAAGCCCATGGCTTTGTAAACTGCAAAAGCAGGGCAGGGTTTTGTTCCCGCAGAGACTCCTTCTACATGGCAGGCGTCAGTTGACAAAGGAATCAGTACAGCACCGCCACACTGGTAGAGAGCAATCGGGCACCATTTGGGAGGGGCTGATTACTTCAGGCTGAGCCCCAGAACGACAGAAAATTAACCTCACTTCAGGGTTCCCAGTGTAACCCTCTTATAGGTCTGGATGAGAGACAGTCAGAGGAGAAGGTCGTAGAGAGGGTGTGGGCTCACACAGACCGCCTGAGAAGTTTCAGTTCGGAGTGGGAAGGACGTGAGGCCCTTTGCGGTGAGCGGTCAGCCCCAGCACGTGTGGCTTTCGGAAGCAGTTGGGTCTGAAAGTGCTGCACTAAGTTCAAGCTTGACCTCCCGCCATCTGGTCAAAGGGGTCTGATTGCTTTCCCCATTGCCCATGTAAACAGAGACACCTCTGGGCTCGATCCCTCGCCACAGCCTGGGGCAAAAGGACAAACGGGCCCTGGAAGAGCTGCTGCCTCCCAAGCACCGAGGCTGTAAAGCCAGGTGGAGAAAACTAATTTGCTGGATTCCAGCATGGCAGATCCTGGAAAAAAATCCCCTCATTCAAAACTTCAGAGAAAAAATTTTTGGATTCTCCTCCTTCTTCGTCATTCGTTTTGGGGGATTGGAGCATTTTCTTTTTCTTTTCTTTAATCTTTCTTTCTCCTCTCCCTTCCTTCCTTCCTTCCTTCTTCCCTCCCTCTCCCCCTTCCTTTTTCCCATTTGTTCATTTCTGTTACTCTTTTACAGAATCCTCTAACTCTTCTCTCCTCCCATTTCATTGGTTACTTTTTCTTCTTTAAGTCTCCTATTCCCCACTCCTTCTATTTTTGCTAGTACAACCACGAGGCCTTACTAATATTTAAGTAGTTATGTCTATGCTGTTACGGTTGAATTCTTTTCTATTGTTAGTGGAGGAACAGCTGTCACATTTAGTAGATATTTGCAATGTATCTCTATTTCATTAGTCTTGTTGTTTATACTATAATTATAGATCTATTTTGCATAGTTAAGGGCAGTTCTACTTTCTATAATTAAAGGTTATTGAGTCTCATGGCCTGTCAGTGTCCAGTTTGTGTTTGACGCTATTATTGTTGCTGATATAGTTGTTATGCCAGAGTGGCCTAGTTGGTTCTCTGTAGGCCAATATCCAGATTACTTTGCATAATTAATGCCATGGTCCTTTCCTGGAGAACTGGGTGCTGGGCCAATTACTCTGCATCGTCCCCTCCCAAATTAATGAAGGTGACTTGTTCTTGGGCGAGAGGCAAGGCCTGTAGTGCCTCGTCCAGTGTGCATCACTGCAAAAGAGACGTTGACTGAAGAGACTGCCCTCCTAGCAACATGTGCAAGCGCCCACAAACTCCAGCACAAAACAGCAGAAACCACAGAAGACAAGGTAATAAGATGACCCTCAAATTCCCAACTTCCCCGAAACTGATCTGTGAGACATCGAGGGGTAGCAAATCAAAAGTCACACAGCTGAGTTATTTGAAACGACTAAAGAAAATATAGAAGAAACATATCAATAAGGTGTTTAGGGAGCCCAAGAAAGTTATAACTAAACATAATAGACTTAATATACAAAATGATCAATGAGTTTCAGAGGATACTGATGAAGAGCTAGCTGACCTAGACAATCCTATACATGACATAAATGACCAGGTTGGCAAATAATTAGAATCTGTAAAAAAAAAAAAAAAATACCAAACAGAAATCCAGGAGATTAAAAATTCTATCAAAAGTGTAGGAATCAGTAATGAACAGCGTGAAGCCAGAGTGTGGGAAGTAGGTCTGGCTGTTGTCAGTGGAAAGTGGTCCAGAGGAACCCTTAAGCCAACCAGAGAATGACGAGGACAGTCTTGACCCGCTTGGAGGAGCTGAGGATGCAATGCTGGCTTAGCTGGCACCTGTGGAGGAGAGGAGCTGGGGGGCTGAGGGTGCATGGAGGTGCCAAGACAGCAGCTTGCATAGTCCATAATCCTGTTCATCCAGTGGGCACACCCTGTGCACAGTGGGCCCAGGATCTGCAGGTGGCAGTTGCCAGTGTGGCCTTTGTGAGGCTCAAGATTGTGGACTTGTAAACCCTGTGAGTTATTTATATTTTTAACACAAAGTCCTGGAGATGAACTCAGGAAGTGCAAGATTAAGTATAAACTGAATTAAAAGTATTTATAATGTGAAAAAAAAAACCAACAAGAGAAATGAAAAACGGATCAAGCAGCTGCTAGGTGATGCTAAGGCGGCTAACCCATGATTAATTAGAATTAGTGAAAAGTCAGTACACAGCACAAGTGGTATTAAAAAAAAACCTGTTTTACAGAAAATAATAGCAGAGAACTTTCCAAGTTGAGGCAAAGAGTTAAACACACAGATAGTGAGGCATATTGGACCTCAGATATTTACAACGGAGAAAGAACTTCTCTCTGAAACATCATAGTCAAAATCCCGGAAGTCTAACATACAGAAAGAATCTTAAAGACTGTTACAGAAAATCAATGAATCACTTATAAATATAAATCCACTAGAATTACAGCGGACTTTTTAACACAAACATTAGAGGGCAGGAAAGGCTGTGGTGAAGTGTTTCAGGACCAAAAAGAAAACAACTTCTATTCCTGACTTACCTATCCTACAAAACCATCTTTCAAAACTGATGTGGAAATAAATGATTTCCATGAAAAAGAGTATCTTATGGGGCTGAGGAGATAGCTCAGCAGTGTAAGGACCTGCCTGGAAAGCTCAAGGTCCTGAGTTCAATCCCTGGTACCGCACCAAAAAAAAAAAAAAAGTATCTTAAGAAATTCATCACCACCAAACTAGTAGTACAGGAAATTCTCCAGTATAGCCTAGCGGGAGACAGTCCCAAGAGTATGACAGAACGAACACATCAGGCAAGGTGAGACGTCAAGCAGAAGAAAGGGAAGGGGGGCAAAATCAGCAACCAGAAAATGGTGCAGCGACAAGAATGAGTCACCACCTCTCCAATAATAACTCCCAATGTGAGTGGCATCAATTCTCTAACCAAAAGACTCAAGATGGCACGATGGACCAAGAAATAGGACCCAGCGATATGCTGTCTGCAAGAAACGTTTAATTAAAAAATCACAGACTAAAAAATCAAAGAAATAAGAAGTATTTCGTGCAACAGGAACATGAAAAGAAGCAGGAGCTATCCTGACGGGTAAACTTTTAGCCAAAACTGATCAGGACAGGCAAAGGTCACTATGTATTTACTAAGGGAATAATTCAACAAGAAGAGACAATAATCATAAACATTTATGCACCAAATACCAGTACATCCAACTTCACGAGAAGCATACTACTGGATATAAAAGATCAGTAAACACCAACACAGTTATAGAAGGGGACCTCAATACCCCCTAACACAAATAGAACATCTAGGGAAAGAAAAGCAACAAGGCAGTATCAAAGTTAGACTGAGCTGTCAAGGCACAGACTTCATAGACACTTACAGAGATAGTGCACACTCTCCTCAGCAGCCCGTGGGGCTGTCTCTAAATCACACTGTGTTCTAGCCCAGGAAGCATGCTGGAGCAAATGCAAAAGAATCAAAATGATGCCGCTCAGATCATCATGTCATAGTGAGATGAAGCTAGAAATCAATGGCAAAAGAAAGCACAGAATTATGCAGAGGGAAAGTAAATACTACTTTTCTGAAGAATCAAGGGGATTTAGACAACATAGAGGAAGAAGTCAGACAGTTCCTGGAGTCAAATGATAATGCTGGTACCACATATCAGAAGCTATGGCGCAAGTACTGTTCACAATCCCAGTACAATGTACCAGAACTCAGGGGGGCACAAAACAGTTCCAACAGGGAAGTTTATAACTGTGAATGTCTGCATTAGAAAAACACAGCTGAGGCCGGGGAGATGGCTCAGTAGAATAAGCACTTGCCTGGAAAGCACAAAGGCCTGAGTTCAATCCCTGGTTCTGCCAGAAACTAACACAAACAAACAAACAAAAAACAAAAAAGAAATAGACAGCAAGCCCAAATGAATATGTGCCTAAAGATGCACCTTCAGGTCCTAAAAAAGCAAAAAACCAAAAAGAATAATTAACATTCAAACCTAGTATAAGGAAGAACATTAAAAAGATTGGAGCAGGGGCCAGGGAGGGAGCTCAGTGCTCTAAGCACCTGCTGGCAAGTGCACGGACCTGGGTTTTATTCCGGGTACCACATGCCATGCTGGCCCTGCCCTGGCACACGGAGCTGACTATCCACACCGGGCACAGTGGTGCATGCCTGGAATCCCAGCACTGGGGAGGTTGAAACAGGAGCACCACTATGAGTTCGAGCTGCGCAATGAGACTTTGTACCAAATAAATTAAATTAAAATAAAATAAATAAAAAACATTGGAGCAAAAATTGATGAAATTGAAAATAAAAATACAAATAATCAATGAATTGAAGAGCTGTTTTTTTCCCCCAAAGAACAGATAAAATAAACTTGTAACCAATCTTACCAAAAAGGAAAGAAAAGACCCAAATCTATACAATTAGAAATAAAAAGGTGAATTCATAATGGACACCACTGAAATCCAAAGTATTGGTAACTATTTTGAGAACTTCTACCCCACTAACTCGGAGACTTCAGAAAAAATGGCTAGGCTGCTAGATACATATGAATTAACAATGCTGAGTAAAAAGATATCAGGGCCGAAAGTAATCCTGTAGCATGCAGTGAAATGGAAACTCAAATAAAAACTAAGAAGATCCTAGATCAGGACAGGCTCACTGGCAAATCCTACAGCAGGACTTGAGATCAGCGCTAATGCCAGTACGCCTCAAACTCTGTAAGGCAAAGGAAGGAAAGGGGCGCTTCTAAAGTCATTCCTGGAATGCTCTGATTACAAAACCAGACAACAATCCAACCAAAAAAGAAAATTGCAGGCTAATTTCTTCTTCAATGAATATAGTTGCAAAAATCCTCAAGAAGATACTGGCAAACAGAAATCAATAAATTAGCAGAAAGATCACACATCAGGACCAAGTAGGCTTCATGGCAGGGTTGTGGACACGACTGCTATGTATGAATCTGTAAATGTACTACACCATATAAACAGAAGCGAGGACAAAAGCCACTTCAAAAAGTCTTTGCCAAAATCCGGTAACCATTCATGATAGAACCTCTGAAAAAATAGTGCCCAAACTCATTCTGATAAAAGTCTACTGCCAACTTTGCATTACATGGGGAAAAACAGAAAGCTTCCACTCTAAAATCAGGAACAAGGCAAGGACATCCACTGTCACCACTCCTATTCAAAAGAGTACTCCAAGCATCAGCCAGAGCAGTCAGTCAAGAGAAAGAAATTAAAGGATATAAGAGAGGTAGAAGTCAAATTATTGCTTGCAGATGATATGATCTTCCACATCAAGACCCCAAGAATGTCATTAAAAGGTTCCTACAGGGCTGGGGAGATAGTTCAGTAGAACAAGTGCTTGCCTGACAAGTGCAGGGTCCAGAGTTCAATCCCCAGTAGTGAAAAAAAAATTCCTAGAATAACCAAATTTAGTAGCACAGCAAAATATAAGGTCAGTGCACATAAATCAACAGTGTTCATGTACACCAACAACAAACCCACCAGAAAAAATTAGGAAGACAAAACATTTCATAGTAGCATCAAGAAAAATGAAATAATTAGTAATTAACCTACCTGAGGAAGTAAAAGACTTCTCTAATGAAAACTATAGCACTCTGAAAAAAGGAGACCAAAGGGAACGTGAGAAGATGAAAAGATGTTCCCTGTTTACGAATAGGCAGAACCAGCACGATCTGAACATCCGTGTTTCCAAACAATTATACAAATTTAATGTAATCTCAATTAAAATCCCAATAGCATTGCTCACAGAACTAGAGAAAACAATCCTAAAATTCATATGGGACTAGAAGAGACCAAGAAAAGCAAAAGCAATCCTGGGTAAGAAGAGCAAAGCCGGAGGATCATCTCCCCAGATTCATTTCTATTACACATTCAACCATCTGATCTTGGACAAAAGGGTCAAAACATATGCTGCTGGAAAGAGCCTGTTTTGTAAATTATGTCTGGAAATCTGGGTATCCAGAAGCAAAAGGCTGACGCGAAGCTCATATTTCTCAACATATACTAAACTGAAATTAAAATGGATCAAAGCGCTACATACCAAAGCAAAATCATTGAGCCTGGTGGAAGATAAGATAGGTAGAACTCTTGAAGTAATAGGTGCAAGCAAGGACTTTCAAACAGATCCCCAACTGCCAAGAAATAATATCAAGAATCAACAAATGGGGTTAGATCAGATTAAAAACCTTCACAGCAAAGGAAATAACTAACATTGCAGAAACAACCCAGAATGAAAAAAAAAAATGCTATTTATACCTTGGACAGAGGACTAACATGTAGAATACATAAAGAATTAAAAAACATTAGCTCTCTCAGGATGAAAGACCTACTCACAAAATAGGCTGTTTAAATGAGCAGGCATTTCTCAGAGTAAGAAATGCATGAGAAAATGTGCAACATCTCTGGCAATTACAGAAATGCAAATTAAAACTACTGAGATTTCATTTTACTCCAGAGAGAATTATCATCATGAAGAAATCAAATAACAATATCATGGCTGCAGGGAAAAGGGACACATCTACATTGTCGGCGGGAATGTAAGCCAACACAGCCATTGTGAGGGTCAGCGTGGAGATTTCACAAACAGCTAGGGGTAGGGATTCTATCTGACCTAGCGACTCCCCTTCTGGGTCTCTTCGCCGAAGAGTTAGAGACACCCTATTACAGCGGGCAAGCAGCCCCATGCGTATAGCAGCTCAAGTCTGAATGGCCCAGTTTGGAAGCAGCTCCCATGTCAATCAGCAGACCGAAGGGTAAAGCAAATGTGGCATTTATGTGCAGTGGAGTTATTGTACCATAAAGAAGAATAAAATGAAGTTGTTTGTGGGAAACTGATGTCCTGAGACAGTAATGTTGGGTGAAATAAATCAGATGCGCAAGCTTAACTATCGCATGGGTTGTTTTTTTTTTTTTTATATGAGAAACACAGGAAGTGAAAATAAAATATAGTAGGAAATATGGACGGGCCCTTTGCAAAGAGGGCCTGGAGATGGAGCGCGGGAGGAGAGGGAGAAGGATCCTGGATGATAAAAAGAACCGAGGTGTGTTGTGTATTTACCAGCTCTGCAAAGAACGCGATCTTTAGGTACTGAAAACATGTCCTAATTAAAAATAGATTGGAAAAAGTAGGCTCTGCCTCTGGCATCTAAGCAAGTGTTAAGCACTTAAAGTGATTTCCTTAGTCTGGCCAGAAGACCTGAAAAATATGTGGAAAAGGAGAAATTTCCTTTTCACTTGATTTGGTGTCACTCAATGCCATCTTGCCAGGGTCTAACATTGTGTCTGCCACCAGCAGGGGTAGGGATGCTTCCCTTGACAAATAACCTCCCATGGCAAGGACAGCGCCCTGCTCTATCTCAGACAAGCTGGGATAAAAAGATGGGGTATTTCTATACAGTGGAGCATTACACAGCTATACAAAGGTGAACTCAAGGCTTTTGCAGGTAAGTGGATGCACCTGGAGACCACACTCATAAGTGAAATAAACCTGACCCACATGTGTAAACGTTGCATTGTGTCCCTATGCAGAACCTAAGAGTAAATAAAATCCGATGGGTACAATAGATATCATGAAAGAGAAATAAACTGCTCAAAGGGAAGAAACAACTGGGATGAGGGAAAGGAGAAAAAGAAAGAAGGAAGGTAGAACATATATATAGACATTCAGGGACGGCTGGGATAATAGTACTGTTGATTTCTACCAGTTTATTGAAGGGAACAGTTAATGTGTAAATGTTTTTTCCTTTTTAAATTTTTTTTGGCCAATTTGGCATGCTTATATCTGCTAATATGACCAATTAATTTGAAGACAGCAATAAGCACTATAACAACCACTGGTGAATTCTTATTATCTTGTTTAGTGAAATTCTGAATTATTTCTAATTTTTAAAATTATTTTTTATTCTCTTTTTTAAAAAAAGAAGGTGGGCATACCCGGACACCTGAAGCCACAGTGACTTGCCCTGCCCCCCCCCCCCCCCCCC